TCACATGGTAACAACTAACCGGCCAATCTTATCTCAAACCATACGACAATACTCATCGTGCCAACCTCATATCAACCGCACAGAAACAACCATCATTCCCAACAGTCTGATCTAACCTTCCTTGAACATGACCCGAACCAAACAGACCCAGTCGAGGGTCTTCTTATATCTTTTGCAAGAACCCTGATTTTATTCTTCAATGCCCATTTCATAAAGAGCCCTCCCTTTCGCTTATTTTCTAATAACTATGTCTGAAGGATCGGTGAATTTGTGTGAAACATGAGATGTGAGAAGATGCGCTTGCGGACTGGTTGCTTTGCATTTGACTGCGTGGACTAATGTAAATGCTGGGAGAAGGTTCTTTAAATGTCCAACACCAAAATTAAGTTGTGAATTTATTTTCTCTAAGTGGGTTTAATGGAATCAGTGTCTTTTTCTAGGTTTGGGTTCTGATTTGCTTTGCATATTCAGAAGTTAAACTTGATCTTTCTAAAAAAATATTTACTTATTTTCAATTATATATTCTGATATTTTGTAGCTTAGTAATTGTGGCTATTGAGAATGGCATGAAAAAGAGATCTCTCGAGGAGTGGTTATTTATCAAATATTTAAAAATAAAATTGGATGCTATGAAGGTTGAAAGAAACAAATTGAAGAAGAAAGCTGATGAAATAGAAGAAGCTACTATGGTTGAAAGGAGCAATTCGAACAACATATTTGATGAAACTAAAGATGATATTAAGGTTGAAAGGGACAATTTGAAGACGAAACTTGAAGAAATTGAACTTGCTAATCTTGTGGGGGTTGGAAAAGTTGGTAATTTAGAGGAGAAAGTTAAGAAGTTGAGAATTATCATTTTGATTTCATGCGCGTTGTTCATTAAATTTGTTATCGTTGGGTCGTTGAAGTGAAAACTTAATGTAATTCTTTGTTTGTAGATGTGTAATGTAGTTCTTAGTAGGCTGTAATGGTTGTGTTTCTTGTAGATGAACATCTTTCTGTTTCATATATTATGTTATTAATACAAGTTGCAGATTTGTATCTGTAACTGATGTGTAGTTCTACTTTATTTGTCGTTATCTATATGATATAATTATATGTCCTTTAAAACTAAGTACAATAATCAAAGAAGACTACAGGAAAAAAAATAAAGACATTGCTTTAAAGTGGTCTGTGAGTAACATGCTCAACCGTGAGCAACAGTTTGTGAAATCGTGGCCAATGATTGGGGATGGGGTAAGACTTGATGAAGTCTGGAATCTGCCACGGTTCGAATCGTAGATTACGGTTCACCTCACGGTTTGAAATCTGCAAGTTTAACCACCAGTCATCTGAATACCATATCACTATCAGTCAAGAGAGAATATAAAATCAATTCAATTGTTTTAGGTTGAACACAACAAGTTTTAAAGAAAATCTTTTCTTCCAACTTCACATGACAATCTGCTACTTTTGTCTCACAACATATGCACCAATACAAGTATATGGATAAATGTGTCAACAACTCATGTGAACTCAACAACACAAACATATATAAGAAGGTCCAAAATTGCTAGCACATATCCAAACAAATGAAAATGCATATGAAAGCATCTAAAGTCCTAGTTTCAGTGATACATAACTGATTCTTCATGTTCCTTTGACAAAATTCCCTCAAGGGGTATAATTGTACTAATACATAATCTTGTTTCGACAGCAAAAAATAATTGACAAAATCAGATTTAGTTGTCAGAAGCAATGCAAAAACTGAGAAAGTATGGCAACAAGTTTAAATAGTACTTCAACTATGTCCAAAAACCAACAGAGTTATCTAAATTTGGCCATTTCCACTTTCTTTCATGGTCTTCAACTTTCCAACCCTTTGTTCTCTTTCAACTTCCAGCTGATTTCCAGTCATTGCTGCTTTGCCTTTCCAACTTAGCTTAGTAGGTGAATAAGGAAGATTCGTAGGCTCAGACACACCAGTATGGTCTACTTTGAAGCTAATCACCCTTGTGCCTTCTGCAACCTTGTGTGTTTGCCTCACGTATAGGCTTGATTTTACTTCAGAAATGATCTTCAGCCTTAAGTCAGGGTCAGCTTCATGTTCCCTTGGAGGACCAAAAGGCTCTGATCCATGTCTATTAAATCCTAGTGTTGGCATGAACACAAATTCAGTGTCTTGAAACCTGCAATTGAAATGGAGAAATATCACTCGGTTAGCTAAATATAAAATCAGATTTGGTAAGTATAAGTTGGTAGCTTGCATGTCCTTTCATTGTGGTATATTGATCCACATTTGCTACATGTCATTTTAGATCCTTTTCATGATGCAACCCATTCTCCTTGTCTTTTACTTGCCTCATCTTTATCCCAATTTCCCCTTACCTTTGGTCTCCCAATTGTTTTAACAAGATTAGGAGGTTCCATTGCTTGTTCTGGCAACACGTTCTAGAACATTTCTCCTCTAACAGTCATCATCTTGGATTTGTATGTTAGAAAGTATGCTTCCCTGCTGTACCACCAACTTATCTCCATTACTGGATCCACCTTCTTGCACCACATTGCCATGATAGTATGAGGACATGTAATTCCAGTCAACAGCCATGTCTTACAAGTACATTTTTTTCTTGGAGGTGTCACGGCCCAAAATCCCAATCTCAAGGTCGTGATGGTGCCACACGTCCACTTACTAGGAAAGCCAACACTAGTTTCATAACTATTCAATTTAACAATTTTAATATACAGATTAATAAGAAGGTAAAGCTGTAAAACTTCAATATATATACTCCCTCTATTTCGAATTAGATGAGGTACTTTTCTTTTTAGTATGTTCCTAAATAAATGACATATTTCTAAATTTAGAAATAATTCAACTTTAGACTCTTCATTTTACCCATTTTAGCCTTACTGAGAAGCTTTTATAACCACACAAATGTCATGGCCCCACAAAGTTTTTACCCCTTAAGCTTTTAAGACCACAAGTTTCAAAAGTCTTCTTCTTTTTTCTTAAACTTCGTGCCGAGTCAAACAACCTCATCTAAATTGAAACCGAGGGAGTAATAAACTCCAAATACACTGTTTAGTCTAATCTCGGACATAAGCTACTAGAAGTGCTACAAACAAGGTCCGAAAAAAATACAACTGTCTGAATGAAATAAATAGTACAAAGATAAGAAGGAGACTACAGGGTCTACGATCACCGTGCAGCTCTACCTTAAGTCACCAGATAAATGACAATCCGAGAAAGCCTCCACTAAACGCTGCTGGGACCCACACCAGAATCTGCACAAGAAGTATATAAGTGTAGTATGAGTATAATCGATCTCATGTACTCCGTAAGTACTGAGTCTAACCTCGTTGAAGTAGTGGCGAGGCTATGACAAGACACTCACTATAAACCTGTACGAGTATAAGTAAAAAAATAATAACAAAATACAAAAACAACAACTAATATGAAACCGGAATAGAAAATACATAACATAGGGCCCTAGAATATCATCTATGCTCAAATTCACAATACAACACGGATACAGAACCAACAGTCAAGAACATTCATAACGTATCTTCTCCATTGCTACGCACAATCCGAGCCGCACATATCATATCAATACCACTACTGTTGCGGCGTGAAACCCGATCCCAAATATCATATCAATATCCATTGTAGCGTTCAATCCGATCCTACATATCATATCAACAATCATTGCGACGTGCAACCCGATCCCAACATGCATGTACAAAACTACAACCAACTACAGCGTATTCCACGATGAAATGCAATAAGGGAATTAAACGAATAAAGACATAAGACGGATAAAAATGGCTATCTAACAACACATAAAAACATAAGGCAAGTAATGACAATCAATAAATAAAGACGCCAATACGTGAAAAAATATGGCAAATTAAGGCGCGTAACGAACGAAAGCTTTAATTTAACAAGTAAAAGCAAGTAACAATTAAAGCATATGACACATATTAACATAGAATAAATGAAGGCATAAAATAATTGAAGAAAAACAACTAAATCTCACACAACCCACAGGCTTAATCCATGAAAACATATATAAACTGGTCACCTTGCATATACACCGTCTCCACACATAAATCAAGTAGCAAATAGACCAATCAAGTCCTAATTTCCTCAATTCAAGGTTAACCACGATATTTACCTCTTTTTGGAATCAATTCAATAATCAATCACGGCCTTTCCATTGGAACAAGCCTCCTAACCAATTGAATCTAGCCAATTATCAATCAAACAATTCAAAACAAGCTTCGAAACTACCAAAGAAAGAAAAAAGTTTAATTTTAATCATTTTTTTAAAAAGTCATCAAAAGTCAACCCCGGGTCTGTTTGGTCGAAATATGAGATTCGGACAAAATCCCGATTACACATTCACCCCCGAGCTTGATTATGTGATTTGTTTTGAAATCCGACCTCAATTTGAGGTCTAAATCAAAATTTTACAAAATTCCTAAATTCTACCAAAACCCCCTAATTTTCTACCTTGAATTTCATGGATTTGATGTTAAATTCCTGGAAAGGTATTGGGGATTGATGAAAAACAAATTAAAGTTTCTTACCAATGAATTTGGGAAGAAAAACTCTCAAGAAAATCACCTCAATGGAGTCTAGGGTTGAAAAATGGTATAAAATGAGCTAAGTCTCGAAATCTTCACATTTTACCCAGTTGGAGATGTCGCAATTGCAAACTTCTGCAACTGCGAAACATTGACCGCAACTATGATCAGTGCATGAGACACCATAGAAGTCTCAAATGCAACGTATCCCTAGCAAATGCGAACAACCTCTCTATTGCAAATGCGAGTAATGTTTCGCAAATGCGAAGATGTTCTCACTATGCACTGTGTTGCAAATGCGACTCTGAGATCGCAAATGTGATCCCAGCTCAGTTCGTAAAAGCGATCTCTACTTCGCATATGCAAAGAGCCAGCCCCCAGCTCATGTTCCATTTGCTAGCCTGACACCGCAAATATGAGGCTCGCAATTTCGACTAGGTCTTCGCAATTGCAGGACCTAAAAGTTTACACCAGCAACAACTATGCATCAGTATTCCAAATCAACCCGCAATACATTCGAAAATCACCCGAGCCTTGGGGCTCCAAATTGAACATGCACACAAGTGCAATAACATCATATAAACTTGCTCGCTCGCTCACCCAAATCATCAAAACAACATCAAATATCAAGAGTTGATCATCAAAACTCAAGTTTTTCAACTAAAAACTCAACTTTCACAATCATTTACATAATGCGCCAAAATGCACTCGGGTCACTTGAGACCCCAAACAAACGTGCGTACAAGACCAAAATATCATATGAATCTACTGGAATCATCGAAATACCGATCCGAGGTCGTTTATCAAAAATGTTGATCGTAGTCAACTTTAGCCTCATTTTAAGTCAAAAATTACATTTTCTTCAAAATTTCACATAAAAGCTTTTCGGAAAATGACACAGACCATGAACGCAAGTCATATAACATTAAATGAAGCTATAAGAGGTCTCAAAACACATAAATTAAGGCTAGTACTCAAAATAACCTATCCGATCGTCACATTCTCCACCTCTAAAAGAAACGTTCATCCTCGAACGGACATAAAAGTGTACCTGGATTGGTAAAAAGGTGGGGGTATCTACTCCGCATATCGGACTCGGACTCCCACGTAGCCTCCTCAATTGGATGATCTCTCCAATGCACTTTCACAGAAGGAAAATTCATAGATCTCAACTTACGAACCTGCCAGTTAAGAATAGCCACTGACTCTTTCTCATAGGTCAAATTTTCATCAAGATGCACTGTACTGAAGTCTAAAACATGCGATCTATCCTTATGGTACCTCCGAATGCTGAAGTCTAAAACATGTGATCTATTCTTATGGTACCTCCGAAGCATGGAAACATGAAATACCCGATGTACCCCTACTAGGCTAGGAGGAAATGCAAGTCTATAAGCAACCTCACCAACTCTCTCCAAGATCTCAAACAGGCCAATAAACCTCGAGCTCAACTTGTCCTTCTTCCTAAACCACATAATGCCCATCATAGGCGACACTCGGAGAAGAACCTTCTTGCCCGCCATGTAGGCCACATATCAAACCTTCCGGTCTGCATAACTCTTTTGCCTGGACTGAGCTGTACAAAGTTGCTCCTGAATCACCTTAACCTTTTCCAAAGCATCACGAACCAAATCAGTGCCCAACAATCTAGCCTCACCAGTCTCAAACTAACCAACCAGTGAACGACATTACCTCCCATATAACGCCTAGTACGGAGCCATCTGGATGCTCGACTGATAGCTATTGTTGTAAGAGAACTCCGCTAGAGGTAAAAAGTAAAAATTGGTACCACTGACCCCCGAAATCCATAGAGCATGCTTGCAACATGTCCTCCAATAACTGAAGGGTGCGCTCAGACTGTCCGTCCATCTGAGAATGAAACGCGGTACTCAGCTCGACCCGCGCGCCTAACTCACACTGCACGACTCTAAAAAAATATGAAGTGAAATGCGCGCCCTAGTAAAATATGATGGAAATGGGCATACCGTGCTGGTGGATAATCTCGCAGATGTAAATCTTAGCCAACAACTCTAAAGAATAGGAAGTCATCAGCGGAATAAAATGTGCAAACTTAGTCAACCGGACAATAATAACCCAGACTACTTCATACTTCCTCAAGGTCCGGGGTAGGCCTATCACAAAATCCATAGTGATGCGCTCCCACTTCCACTTTCCAATCTTCGAGTCACCCCCACCCGATTTCTAATGCTCATACTTCACCTGTTGAAAATTCAAACACCAAGAGACATCACTGACAATATCTTTCTTCATTCTCTACACAAATAGTGTTGTTTCAAGTCACGGTACATCTTTATGACACCTGGATGAATGGAATAGCGCAAATGTGAGTCTCCTCAAGGATCAGCTCTCTCAACCCATCAACATTCGAAACACAAATCTGGCCCTAAGCTGCATAACACCATCATCTCTTATCACAATCTCCTTAGCACCACCCCGATGCACCGTGTCTTTCAAAACCAACAAGTGAGGATCATCAAAATGACGAGCCTTGATGCGCTCCAATAATGATGGATGCGCTACAACACAAGCAAGAACCCGACTAGGCTCCGAAACATCCAACCTCAAGACCGATTGGCCAAGGCCTGAACATCCATGGCTAGTGGCCTCTCCACTGTCGGTAAATATGCTAAACTACTCATGCTCTCAGCCTCCTACTCAATGTATCGGCCACTATATTGGCCTTCCTCGGACAATATAATATGATGATATCATAATCTTTCAGCAACTCTAACCATCTTCGTTGCTGTAAATTAAGGTCTTATTGCTTGAACAGGTGCTGGAGACTCCGATAGTCAGTATTGACCTCACTTGGAATGCCATATAGATAGTGCCTCCAAATCTTCAACACATGAACAATGGATACAAACTCCAAATCAGGCATAAAGTAATTCTTCTCACGAATCTTTAACCGTCGAGATGTGCTGGCAATCACCTAACTGTCCTGCATCAATAACGTGCCAATCCTAATACACGATGCATCATAATACACAATGTAAGATCCCGAATCTATAGGCAACACCAACACTTGGGTTGCAGTCAATGCAGTCTTGAACTTTTGAAAGATCACCTCACACTCATCGGACCATCTGAAAAGAGCACCTTTCTGGGTCAACCTGGTCGACAGGGCCGAGATAGATGAAAACCCCTTCACGAACCGGCGATAATAACTAGCCAAACCCAAAAAATCCGAATCTTTGTGGATGATGTAGGTCTAGTCCAGTTCTGAACTGCCTCAATCATCTTAGGATCCACCTTTATACCCTCGGAAGATACAACATGGCCCAAAATGGCAACCGAGCCCAACCAAAACTCACACTTCAAAAATTTGGCATAAAACTAACAATTCTCTAAAGTCTGAAGAACGATCCAGAGATGGTACTCATGCTCCTCTCGACTGCAGGAGTAAACCAAAATATCATCAATGAAGACAATCACGAAGGAATCCAAATAAGGCTTGAACACACGGTTCATTAACTCCATAAAGGCTGTTGAGGCAGTAGTCAAGCTGAATGACATTACCAAGAACTCGTAATGACCATAAAGAGTCTGAAATGCTGTCTTAGGGATATCCGATGCCATTATCTTCACCTGATGGTAGCCAGATCTCAAGTCAATCTTGGAAAACACCTTGGCACCTTGAAGCTGGTCAAATAAGTTATCATTCCACAACAAAAGATACATGTTCTTGATATTGACCTTGTTCAACTACCGACAATCTACGCACATCCTCATCAACCCGTCCTTTTTCTCATAAACAAAATTGGTACACCTAGGGCTGTGCATTTGGATCGGATATCCGAGAATCCGAACCGATCTACTCTATTCCGATTTTTGGATTTTGGATTTGAATATTCGGATCGGATATGGGTTAAGTTTTTTAAAAGTTTAGATATTCAGATCGGATTCAGATTGGCATAATTTTAATCTAATCCGACCCGAAATCCTAATTATGGACATGTATAAATATTAGACTTATGTTTTGGGTTAAGTCTTCTCATTTTATTCGCCTCTCTTTAGACCCTTCTTTTCTTTGTTTATATCAAAGTCTCTTTCTTTTTGACCTCTCTTCAGATTGCTCTGTCCGCTTTTCTTATATCTTACATCTGTGTCTCTCATTCTCAGTCTTTCCTTCCTATCGACGGACAACGATGCCTCTCCCTTATTAGACATTTGTTTGGAATTTCAGTTTATTTTATTTTGCTATGAAACTTTTGTTTTGTCTATTGCTATAAAAGACATTTGTTGCCTTTCAATTTAATAGAATGGTGAATACTAGTAGCCTTAAAAAGTGTAATAGCCGATTGTTAGTAGCCTTAAAATGACGTATAATCCGATCTGAAAATCCGAAATATTTACCCGATCCAAACTTTAATATCTGATTCGATCCAATTTAATTTGGATTGGATTCAAATTGCATTATATAAACTTCGAAATCCGAATTTACAATCTGAAATATGCTAAATCTGATCTGATCCGACTGATGCACAGCCCTAGGTGTACGCCAAGGCGAGACATTATGTCTAATGAATCCCTTATTAAGCAAATCCTGAAACTGCTCCTTCAATTCTTTCAACTCAATTGGAGTCATATTGTATGGTGGAATAGAAATTGGCTGAGTGCTCGTAACCAAGTTAATGCAAAAGTCGATATCTCGGTCGGGTGGCATACCCAGCAAATCTGTAGGAAACACCTTTGGGAACTCTCTCACCACCAGAATTGAATCCATGCAGATACCTCGGTACTAGAATCATATGTATAAGCCAAATATGTCAAACACCCCTTCTTGACTATACGCCGAGCCTTCACATATGAAATGACTCTGCTAATGGAGTGACCAAGAGTTCCTCTCCACTCCAATCGAGGCGACCCCAGCATGGCTAACGTCACTGTCTTAGCATGACAATCCAGGATATTGTGATACGCTGATAACCAATCCATGCCCAAAATCATATCAAAATCCACCATATTAAGTAATAAGAGGTTGACCCTAGTCTTATAGCTCCCGATAGTGACCAAACAAGAACGAGATACCCGGTCCACCACAATAAAATGCTCAACGGGCGTACACATATAAACATGAGCACTTAAAGAATTACGAGACATATCCAAATATGAAGCAAAATAGGATGACAGATACGAATAAGTAGACCCCGGATCAAATAAAACGGATGTATCTCTATGGCAAATCGGAACAATACCTGTGATTACTACATCAGACAACTCTACCTTAGGTCTAGCTGGAAATACATAGAAATGGGGCTGAGCCCCACCAATCTGACCTCCGCCTCTCAAACGGCCTATAACTGGACGGCCTCCACTTCTAATGGCTTTACCACCACCCCGAGCTGCCTGACCCCACCTCTAGCTGGCTGAGTGGGCGGTGGAGCAACCAGTACCGAAATCATGGCACGAGTACCCTGTTGTGGCATACCACTCTAAAGTCTGGGACATTAACTCCTGATATGACCCATATATCCACGCTCAAAGCACTTTCTCTGCTGATGTGGCTGCTAAATCTGGGACTAACCCTGATGGTTCGAATAACTACTGTGATAACTCTAAATTGGTGGTGCACTGATGGGAGCTGAAAGTGCATTATAAGCTAGATTCTTAGGACGAGCCCAATAAGAACAATGACTACGTGAAGCACCATGTGATACCTGAAGCACTAACTGAACCGGCCTAATAGCAGGCCTTTACCAAATGAAACCCATCCTCCAAATGAGGCACCACTGAAATGATGAGGCCTCTTCTCAGATGTCGCCTCTCTACCCCGATCACAAATCATCTCGATCCTCCTAGCGATCTCCACAACTCAAATGAAAGAGATATCATCCTTGGTCTTTCTAGCCATCTGTGGCCTGATACCATAAGTAAGGCCATATATAAATCTCTGCAACCTCTCCTTCTTAGTAGGGATTAAGATAAGTGCATGGCGGGACAAATTCACGAATCTGGTCTCATATTGGGTAAAGGTCATGCTACCCTACTGGAGGCGCTCAAACTAACTGCAGAAATCCTCTCTTTGGGTAAAAGTGATGAACTTCTCCAAGAATAGCTATGAGAACTAAGCCTAAGTGAGTGGAGGTGGACTTGCTGGTCTGCCCCGAACATACATTTGGCACCACCTCTTGGCGGAGCCATGCATATGAAACACTACGAAGTCAACCACATTAGACTCCACTATACTATGTTGTGCAATACCTCATGGAAATGTTCCAAGAAATCTTGAGGGTCCTCAAAATGTGTACCACCAAAACAAATAGGAAATAACTTGGTGAACCTGTTCAACCTCTTCGAGCACGCGAAAGACATCACGGGTCCCTCCTCGGATTGTGTAGCAATAACATGCATAACTGCTCTAACTGGTGGAATTGCTAGAGTCTGATATCCATGAGCCATTTGCTCAGGAGTATAAGTAGCGGGAGTGTGAGCTCCTCCCCCAGCTTGAGAGACGATTGGGGGCATAGAGAATATACCGACTTGGGCCACACTCTCTATA